GGGAGGGGGAGGGGGATCAGGAGGGGCTATAGTTCCCCCTGCAGTCCTTGTAATCTCATAAAACAAGGATGATTTAAGTCTGTTGCCATCATCCTGGTATTGCTTTCCTCAATGCTTGGTGTTATTCTTTTAAAAGGTCTCTATATAATATATCAGATAAATTACAGCACATCAGTCAATATTGTCAGCTCTGTACTAGAATCCAATAAAGCAAAGTGACAACAGGTATTATCTTAATAATAGTTGGCACATTAGTATCATATTACAGATGTTTATTAACATCAATGGCACCTATTTGCTTACATAGGTTCAAGGCCATAGTCAGCACTTGGATAGTGGCTTAGTACGTTTTTAAAAAAGGTGGTCCTTTTCTTTTTATTTACATGTGTAATAAATATTTTTTCAAGGGGGAAAACGGTTCTGAAGGTACAGTAGTGGGGTTACAACTGGACCAACTGTACTGGTGGCTACGGTCTCTTAGAATAATAATAATAATAATAATTTAATGAATTTCAATAGTGTTATATTTTACCCCTATAATGCTTTACAATGAATTGCCAAACATAAAATATATATATATATATATATAAAACCTCTCACTCTGTCCAAGCTGGCCCATCAGAGCCCCAACTATGGCTACTGCTAGTGCCAGCCAAGCCGATTCAGACAGAGTACCTGGGTTTCACAGAAACTTAAACTCTTCTTTAAGTTATATAAACATGCACCTACAAAATGTTCAAAATTGTTCAAAATTTTCAAAAATGTTTAAAATGTTCAAAAATGTTCAACATTTCTTGAAGTAACAAATGCTATTACATTTCTTAAATGATGATAAAAATTATCAATATTATGATAGCAATAATTGAAAAAATATTAGAGTCTCTATATGTAGTTATCATATATCTTTGTAAGCTTTCCTGAATAGGAATGTTTTAAGATTTTTCTTTGTCATTACATCTCTTTAGTTCTTTAGGGAGTGTATTCCCTAGTTTTCCATAGAATTCAATGATATTATAATCTTTTATATCAGTAATATGAAATGTATGGCTGTATTTTGTGAGATTGACTATTGTAACATTGTATAATCTTTTAGTCAATCAGATAATTTATAAAATGCCAAATATACTGGGGTCCAAAGATTATCACCATGGAAACCATATATACAATATAAGTGCCTCCTTAAATCACAATGACAAGGAATCTGCATATGAAGACACAAAAATATCAATCAAGCTTATATTTGATATTAGTATAAGAAAAATCCACAAAAGAGTGAATATTATTCTTTGAAAGACAAATTCATTGTAAAACGCCAGGAATATAAAGATGTTGAGACGATATGGCTCTTCTTCCATTGACACAAATTAATCAAATTTCTGAATATTTACAGAATTGGAGTCCGGAAAATTATATAATTTGAAGGTGAAAAAATACATGTATCGAAAATAATCTCACACCGAGAGCGATTGATACTGCTCTTAAAGGGAAGATAAAATCAAATATCAAGCTGTTATAAAAATTAAGAATTGAGCAAAGAATTCTAAGAAAAATTTGCAAAAATTTTGTGAATTGTTTGTAATCAAAAATTTGACAAAAGACAAAATATTTGAGTAACGAAGGTAACGAGTTGCAAGAGAAATGCAAGTTTTCGATAGCTTATCCCCTTGATATCTTTATGTCTCTTAAAACCTGTAAAATGCTTTCAGGTATAGCTCTTAAGCTTTTCGATTTTTTAGGAGAAAATTATAATTTTTTCTTTGACGTTGTAGTATCCGCAGACAAATATATCAAACGAAAACAATATTTACCCTACACACTGCTTTAAAGTTATAAACTTACCGACAAGGACGATTTTAAACGAAGGAATTTGGTCAGAAACTTCTTTTCCTGTTTAGTAGAAGCATAGTGTGTTAATAAGGCCTGTTTTTCGAGAATTTAAAAGGGTATTTTTTGGATAATTTACCTGAACCACAGCTCCCGGCTGCCCCCATCTTTGCTTGGCAACTGATTCTAGTTCCTTCCTGTAATTCGAGGGATTCCCGAGGGACTGGCACAGGAAATCCAATACGATAAAAACAAACGGGATATTTGACGGGGTTGTGTAGACAGGAATAGGTTACTCAAAAATAGAAAGTTTCATTATTCTATATTATATTATTTTAAAAATCAACAAAGAAAAAGGAAAAAAACGAGCAAAAGCGTGAGTATAAATAATGTTTAAGGTCACCCATCCAAATGCTAACCCTCCCCAGACGAGCTTGACTCACTATCTTGAAACGACAACGATTTATCCACTGGACAACGGCTCTAGGTTAATCAGCATAACAATAGCCGTGAAAACAATGCACCGAATAGACTAGACTTTTTAACATCAATTTTTCAACCGATTCCGTGCGTGGCAGAGATGCAAGGGATTAGCCGATATGGTCTGGGGCCCGGCTGGTCTCTCCCCTGATGCTTCGGCTAGAACATTTTCTTGCGTAATTCSTACACCCAAGGGCAGAAGGATTTAATCGCCGTCAGGTCCGAAGTCCATACGACGCCTCAGCTCTGCGGATGTCTCGGGGGTATGGCAAAGTGGAGTCGATTTTTTAAATTTTCTTTTGGTCATGGGTTCGAATCCCGTCTTATTCCCACAAAATTTTTCCCTTTTTTTTTTTTTTTTTCAATTCATTTTTCATTAGATTTAAATTTTCAACGATAACAATTTTGAATAAATTAGATGCGAGAGAAAATAAGTGTTCGCAAGTTCTGAAAGAAAAATACAACTAAGATGTTCCAAAGTAACCCCTCTCCCCAAATAGCGGTACGTAACAAAGATTAGGTGTTAACAGCATACCAGCACATTGGGCAACCCAGTGCACGCTCCAAGAACGTCTTGTTCATTAAAAGTATTTCTCATTTTAGATAAGATATTAAAAAGATAAATAGGTAAGCCAACAAAGCAACTTTCGCAAATCAGTGAGTTAGCGTTTGTGAATCAAATCTAGAGCTTACTTTTAAACCCTTTTTTATCCGATACCGATACGAAAAAGCAACGTAAAACAAAGGTATTTCTCTTTAGAATCTTAATGTTCTAAGCATTAGAAAAAGGATAACTTTTTCCATCAAAAAGAAAGTAAGAATCGATTATTACTCAATTCATTTAGTGTCGATTTAATTTTTTAATTTCTTAATGTACGTCACAATGATGGCGTCATAATTATCACAATTTAACGTCACTCTGTGACGTCATCAATCGCAAAATCCGAGTCATCAGAAGCCAAGCTATTCATGACAGATGTAGCTTTCTAAACCAGTAGAATCATGGGTTTTAAAACCCCTTGGTTCCAGCTTTTATCTGTGTGTCTTTTCGTTTCTACCGTTGCCTACTCAAAGCCTCTTCCCTTCAAGTTGACTTCAGAGGGTAAGGTCTCGCTTGTAGCCAGTAGACTAGTTTAGGATTCTGCGCGCGCGCGCGTTCTGCGCAGAGCGTTCCACTTGCCACGCGTCGACCACTAGAGCAGCTTTCTCATGACAGCGAAAAGCTCAGTGCCGTAAGCGTGTTGTGCCGCGAATGCGATGTTTTCTAGAATTTTAATTGGCTGAATTTTTTCTTGCTTAATGTGTGCTCCGCTACGCGTCGTTCTACTTCTCGGGTGCTTTATGATTTTATTGTATGCACGCGCGTTTCCTATTTCTTTGGCTTAAGGCTTAAAACAATGTAATATAGGAATCGGACCAACGTTACACGTCTGTATATGGCTTATGATGATTAGGACATTGAACTCCAGTAAATTTATTAATTATATCATCACTATATAATCCCATATAAGCAACTATTGCATCATTTTCAAATTATCTTTTCTGTCCAAATTAAAGATTAATTTGAATCGTTTCCATTCGCATTCTTTCGAGGGAAAATTATGACTTATGGAATCAGTCTAGTATAGGTTGGGATAATATATTTAATCTGCAATATAGGACTACCTGTCTGTCCAATTTAGAAATATAGTTGAATTCAAAAAATTCCCTGACTGCCAAATTGGACTCGGTCTATCGGCCTCGCCTAATTTTGTCAGTCCTCGGAATTTTTTTCATCCAATTTTTCCAAATTTGACAGCATGTAGTACTATTGCCTATACCAATGCTTCTTTATTATTATGTCTAGATTGTGCCGAATCTTGCAACACTGCCAAAGAAGGAATCGTACACAAAATAGTAGCCAGAGATTTGAGGGAAGATCAAAAGCCTTCTGAATATCAGAGTGATTCAGATATAAATCACGAAGAACAGAATATTGCCTCACTTAGCGACTTTGACATCGAAGAAATTGATGGCGATGATGGTGGAGCACAGGATGAGTCGGCCAATTCAGGTGATGGTTTTATTGACATAGGTGGGGCACACTTGGATAAGACTGTTGATGATGAAGATGCTGATGATGATGCTGATGACTGGACGACTCACCTCGAGCTACCCATTAAGGCTATTAATGACAGTGTGGATGACACTTTTTGGGGGAATGATGTTGTCATTGATGAACTATCTAAAGAGACGCATAAAGATGATGAGGATGATACATCTGGAACTGATGATGATGATACATCGGGTCGTGATGATGATTATGCAGCCGATAAAGTTGATGATGATAAGAGCAACGCTGAAATAGATGATGAAATTCTAGACAGTGACGACGATGATGACTCTTATGATGATGACGATGACACATTTGATGTCGACGATGATGCTGATGATTACGAAAGCAACGCTGAAGAGACGCAAGACGAAGATGATGGCGACAGTTACGATGATGTTGTCAACCTTGACCACGCGACCAACTCGCCTGATGATGACGACACTTATGATGATGTTGTCAACCTTGATCACATGACCAACTCACGTGATGATAATGACGCTTATGATGATGTTGTCAATCTTGACCACGTGATCAACTCGCCTAAGGATGATGATGACACATTTAGAGTTAATAATGTTGTCGATGACAGCATCAAATTGCCTGACCAGACGACCATCGATCCCACCAATGGCAATGGAGTTGAGGGCCCAATACAAATCCTTGAGGAAAACCATCCGCACGATCCTAAACCTGGTCATAAATCCAAATTTACTCAACATCATAACCCCTTAAACAAACACCGAGACTCAAAACTAGGTCGTCTGCTGACGAAACACAAAGACAATGGATTGACAAGCATTAAGTCTGGCAAAAACAATCATCATAAAGACATCTACAAAGACGAAGATGATTATAACGACTTTGAAAGTCAAACAAGGAAACACAAGTTCCCAAGACACAAGGGAAGAAGAACGCTTTCTGTAGACGAAAATCCAGACTTCGAACACGTAGGTAACCGCGACGACGTCTCCGGTACTGAAGATCAAGAAAATTTAGGGAATTATGTTGAAGGAAGCGTAGACAACTATGACAAAGCAGAGACGATAGTTGATGACAAAGAATCTCCAGCTCTTGTTCAAGAAGATCAAATCGAGGGCGAAGAAGAAGAAGAAGAAGAAGAAGAAGAAGAAGAAGAAGAAGAAGAAGAAGAAGAAGAAGAAAAACAAAAGATCAAAGCCACTGTGGGCAGTTCTGATGATGACGAAGGAATCAAAGCTGTTAATTTCTCAACATCTGAAAATGCTACTGATGAAATTGGTCAACAATATGAAGAGGACAAGGAGAAGAAGAAGAAGAAGAAGACGAAGTGAAATTCGATGATGAAAATGTCCCTCATTCTCGACGAGAAGCGGCGATTACCACAGAAGATTTGTTGACCGACAGTGGAGATCAGGACAATATGGTTTTATGAGCTTAATCCTTAAACAGGAATACGATTACAGAAGACAGCATTCATTTTGACTGAAAACTAAAATATTAAACATAATTGGAGTTGGACAAATTCCTTTTCTGAATGGGAATATATGTCGTTCTTTTTCTCCGCTTTTTACACCAACGATTTTTTTGGAACACACAGGCAGTACTTTTTCTTGTTCAACTTTGCAAAATTGCTGACCCTTTTTTGCAGAAGTGATCTTGTTAATAAAGAATGCATGGCTTGCTTTCAGACTAGTTCTCTTATAAATTACGGTTTATGGCTGCCCAATTTGAGCTAATTTGAAGGGGGGGGGGGGGGGGCTTTTTTACAGCCGCAATGTCAAAAGTTATAGGGCATACGGTCGTCCAGGAATCGAAGTCGAGACCCCAAAGGCAAGTAGTCCAGAACTGAACCCACTTTTATGGATGCGCGCGCGGCGCGACGAAACTAGTAGCGGAAAGACACTGGTAAGAATTTTTTGTGCGCGTGCGGGCGGTATTTTTTAATATTTTTGATATGCTAGAGAAGTGGGTCCAGTTCTGGAACAAGAGATGAGAGGCGAGTTGGGAAAAACTTAGTATATATGAATAGCATGAAACGATATGTTCACGACTATATACAGTTGGTGTGTGCACTATCGCGTTATACGGAGCTGAGGAAATTGGTTTTGGATGTTCTAACATCAGTATTGAATGCAGGAATGACAATGAAAAAATCAAACACTATTGAATCTGTCTTTTATTTGTAAGATAAAAAATAAAACTATATTCTGTACATAACTTTTTTTACAAGGAAAATGCCGTAAAATGGTAGAACTAATGTTTAAATCACCTGAGAACGATGTGAGTTAAGCTTCTTTTTACTGGGAAGATAAAAATATCCAGTTGACAAAAAACGCGATTATCGAACAGAGACAGTAAAGAATCACATAGAGCAGTTTCCGTATTACTGTGAAAAGCTCAGTGCCGTAAGCATGACGTGCCGTGACCGTGATGCTTTATAGAATTTTAATTGGCTGATTTTTTTCACGCGTAATGTGATTGTTCTGGCATTGCCTTGACCTTGGCGTGACCGTGTCCGCGCCGTGTTTATGCCGTGTTCCGGGTATTTGATTGGATGGAGAGTAAAATTCTCGTGCAATGTGATTGGTCTGGCGTATCCCTTGCTGTGTCACGACCGTGTTCGTGCTGTGAACTTTTCACAGTCATACGAAAACTGCACTAATACGAATAATCACGCAAACACGAGCATGGGACCACAGGAAGACCACCATTGGAGATGCAAACAAATACCGTAACACCTTCGAAGATTTTCTTCAAATACTTATCAACGTTAGTTTAGCTTTACACATCAATGGAATTCCCTGTACCATAATAAGGTCAAAGATAATTTAACAAGTCTAAAACCTACTTTGGCGAAAATGATTCAAAAGCCAGTCCAATCTTTTCCGACATTTTGGTTAGCGGGCTATGCAGAGAGCCTCTTGCTCCAGTGCTTCTCGGTCTTTGTCCACCACTGAGGAACTGGAGCGAGAGGACCAATTTCAGGGAAATCTTGAGGCTTCGATAGACCTCCATACCACGTGTCATTCTATAGAATATTATGGCTTTGTTTAACGGTTGCACATGAGAAGATAGATGCGGGATTAGCCTCGAGTCCAGGAGTTGCTTGTTTTGTTATTCTAATTTCTCTTATTCTCGAGAGAATGACACGTGTTCTGGAATGGGAAATCATTACGCCCAAACTATTTTAGTCTCTCATCACAATAAATAATTTTCTACGTTCAAGCATATTGTTGCACGTTACTATTTTTCGTAGTTTATATTACTATTTTGTATATTTTTATACTTTTGATAATCCGAAAAGGGAAAGCCTGCCTTAAACCTTATATTCGTCTTTGAAGGTAAAATAGTTTTGCATAAAATTTTAAGAACCGTCGGATTTGGAGCATGGCGTGACACTGAAATGGTACTAGACTAATCAACTTACAGCACGTACACGGTACAACATGCCCTGACATTGAAATGGCTTCTTATAAGAATGGTTATCGTGGGAGTGGGAAGGTACGGTACTGACTTACAGCACGTACACGGTACAACATGTCCTGACATTGAAATGGCTTCTTATAAGAATGGTTATCGTGGGAGTGGGAAACGTACGGTACTGACTTACGGCATGTACACGGTACAACATGTCCTGACATTGAAATGGCTTCCCATACGAATGGTTATCGTAGGAGTGGGAAACGTACGGTACTGACTAACAGCACCCATAGGGCTAGGTATGCCGTACACCGAAATGGCTTCTCTTTAAAGCCATAACATTAATTTGACTTCCCTTTGCATGTCGTAACCTTGAAAGGAGTTCCCTTCGATATGACGTCATTTTAAAATGACCTGCATTTTGTTTTCCCTGACAGTGAAATGGCTTTCCTTAGTTATGCCATAGCATTGAAATGTCTTCCCAATGTAATCTTACGAGTATATCTTTAAATTAAGACACATATACCAGATTTTTTATCCTTCTGTTTTGCAGTGTTTTTGGCGCTTTCTTTGTTTTTACTGTCTCCTTCCTTGTTATCCTCATTTGTTTTTTCTTTTTCCTTTTCTTTGTCCTTGTCTTCATCTTCGTCTTCCTCCTCCTCCTCTTCGTCTTTTTCTTTTGTTTCCTTCTTCACATCAGCCAAGAAATGATAGAAATTTAATTAGCATCAATGATTTAAATCTCTCATGAAAATAAGATATAATGCTACCCAAATCCCAAACTTAAAGGAACCCCCCCCCCAAAAAAAACAAAAACAAAAACAAAAAAACAACAGCAACAACATCCTATTATTCTCATTTTCACATATCAAGATAATATCAGTTCTAAATACCTTCTTTTCCCCCTTATTCTTCCCCTTTTTGGTTTTCTCTGTATTTTCTTCCGTGGCTTCTTTGTCATCTGTTTCTTCATCTTCATCTTCGTCTTTACTTTTCTTTTTACTCTTTTTCTTTTTCTCCTTTTCATCTAGTAATAATAATAATAATAATAATAATAATAATAATAATAATAAATGATAATAATAATTGAAAAAAAGAACATCCATAAAACCTACATTACATACAATGCTCTGGATGGCAAGAGCTTGTCATCAAGCGCATAGTCTTGGCACGTCTTATGGATAATGAGTAGGAAATAGAGGATATTACATGGGCGCGTGGAGATACGAATACGCCCAAAACGTAGTCATGGCAACGGTTATATCTTCACATGTGACGGATATGATATCTTCATTGAGTAGAATATACGAGATTTTAGACACCGGATAAATCCTGATATTTCATCGAAATTTTATATGAAAAAAAAATATATGAAAAAAAATTATATGAAAAAGAATTATATGAAAAAAAATTATATGAAAAAAAAAATTATCTAAAGCATTGTTCCGATAAGCTAATCTTAATTTTATTCACATCTTTGATATTTACCAAGTTCAAAAATAAAGCTTGAAGATTACCTTGTTTCGAGTCTTTCTTCTTCTTCTTCTTCATAGCATCTTTATCTTCCTCATCGTCTTCCTCATCGTCTCCTTCTTCCTCTTCACTATCTTTCTCCCCCTTCTTTGCACTACTTCCCACCTCGATCCTCTTACTTTTGGTTTTCTTTTTATCCTCATTTTTGTCTTTAATTTTCTTTTTATTCTTGTTATCGTCTTCTTCTTCTTCATCATCATCGTCTTCTTCTTCCTCTTCGCTTTCTTCCTCATCTTCTTCTTCGTCCTTCTTCTTGACCTCTTTAGTTGTTGTAGCGGCTTTGGTTGTTTTATCTTTAACAGTTGCTTGTTTGGAGTGTTGCTTTTCGTCTTCATCTTCTTCTGTTTCGCTTTCTTCTTCGTCTTCTTCCGACTCCTCCTCTTCTTTCTTAACTGAAACAAGAAGAAGTAACTGTTCAGGAGCGCATCCTGGGGTGGTAATAGAGGTGACTAGTCACCCTCTTCTTGCTCAAATTTCTTATTTTTATCCTTAGTAAGCCATCCCCTTTTTCTCGCATTCCTTGTAAAACCTGTGTAATAGCCAAACCCTCTTCTAAAATTCCTGGATTTGCCACTGCTGTTTTAAGTTTTAATACTGTTTTAAATGTTTTAAATGTTGAATGAATGAATGAATGAATGAATGAATGGAATGAATGAATGGATGAATGAATGAATGAATATTAAACAAATAAATAAACGAACAAATGGATGATTGAATGAAAAATAAATAAATAAATAAATGCATATGCAAACAATAAACTTAACCAACAGACAATAGACTAAATATGATTCTGTAATTAGAAAATCAATGTTCAAATGAGAACCATATTACATACCTTGTTTCTTAACTTCTTTTTCAGATTCTCCAGTTTTCATCATACCCTCTTTTTTTATTTTCCCACTATTCCCATTTTCTCCTTCCTCTTCTTCATCCGATTCCTCTTCACTTCCACTTTCCTCTTCAGATTCTGTTTCTTCCTTCTCTTTCCTCGTTCTTGGTAGTGTTCTAGGGGCCGCTAGTGGTGAAGGTTTAGCAAGTCCTCTTGGTAAAGGCTTGGGTGATGATGTCGGTGTGGACTTGGATGTTGCTGTGGTTTGGTTATCTGTAGAAATAGGCAACTTTCAGCTTTCTAGTTTAGTGATCAATCATAAAACCTTTGAGTTTGATAGGTTGTTTCAGGGTTTGATCTGTGAGTTAGCCATGCCCTGACCTAGATCAGCCCAGAGGTTGTTTCAGGGTTTGATCTGTGAGTTAGCCATGCCCTGAATTAGATCAGCCCAGAGGATGTTTCAGGGTTCCATCTGTGAGTTAGCCATGCCCTGACTTAGATCAGCCCAGAGGTTGTTTCGGGGTTCGATCTGTGAGTTAGCCATGCCCTGACTTAGATCAGCCCAGAGGATGTTTCAGGGTTTGATCTGTGAGTTAGCAATGCCCTGACTTAGATCAGCCCAAAGGTTGTTTGAGGGTTTGTAATTTAAAGTTCCATACTAACCTTCCTCCTCTTCCAGGTGGGTTATCTTGGGTAATTTGGATGCATTTAATGGATTCACAGGCTTCTTCTCTTCCTCATTTAAAAAACCTTTCCCTAATGCTGGTAAGGTACGTTTTAATGTTCCATTCAGTGGCGGTAATGAAGATTTGTTGATTGGTGGTAGTGAATGGCTTAAACTATTGTTAATATCCTGCGGAAATCAAGCCAGTCAAAGTCAATAAACATGTATTAGATAATATTATACCACAACCATCCTGACTCATAGTCAATGGTACCTGTAATAGCGATACACCTGCCTATCACCTCCAGGATCTTGGTTTTATATTTAATACCTGGACTTGGCATCAGAGGTAATGAGATTTCATTGGGTTTTTTTCTAATTTTTTTTCTCCCTTAACAATTATTTTAAATTCCTGCTAAATTCGAATTTGATCTTTGAGTAAGGGGTCTGGCATATATTGATGTCTTTACTGCGATTTTTTATATTTTGCGAACTCAGAAGTTACAAGCTGCAYGCTGAATTTTGGTCTTTTGAAGTGCCATCAATCAAAAATAATCAGTCAGTACCTTTTATGTTCTTGACTGGCGGCAATGAAAAACCAATTTCACTATGTTGGATATAAATCCACACACATCCACCATGAAGAATGCACAAATGAAGTAGGTATATGAGAGCCATGCACACCCATAGTGAACATGTGAAACATTCATATTCATAATAGATTAGTTTCCATAGTTACTAACCTCTACATGTTTCTGTCGTCTCTTATCCCTTGCCGACCATGTTGATGATAAATGACTAGGACCATCAACGGCATCTAATAATTGTCCAGGTTTTAAAGTTGTAGCAAGTGTCTCTTTCTCAGCTTGTTCTTCACTATCCGACTCTTCGACACTTTCCTCTTTCCTTACTGCCGAAGCAAGCATGTGACATCCACCACAAGATACTTTCTTGACGATAAAATTATTAAATCTTGTTACCTTCTGTGGCGTGAAGAGATTAGAGAAGCATTCATCACCCAAGCCAAGCTTCCCGTGCCGACCATCTCCAAACGTATACAAGTTCCCATGTTTTGTTATAATTGATGTAAAATTTTCTCCACAATCTACACTTTTTGCTTTAACTTTGTTAAATGTTTGAACCTTTTCTGGCAGCTCACATTCTGTGAGTGCAGACCCTAGACCTAGCTGTCCTTGATTTCCTTGTCCGAATGAATATACGTGTCCGTTTTGTGTCACAGCTACCGTGAATTCTGCCCCACATGACACTGCTGTGACTTTTTCTTTAATGCTTTCGACTTTCTGTAACTGTGATGTGTCATCCAGTTGGGATTTTTCTAGTCCTAGTTTTCCTCCTTCCCCTTCACCACAGGTATACAGAGATCCATCGTCTGAAACAAGTTAGAATACTATGCCATCAGGGGTACAAACAATGTTATGCTTAATCAATGTCTCATTGAGTTAGTAACAACATCGCTATCATCATTGTCATCAGCACCAACATCATCACTACTTTCGGCACCACGATCATTGTCATCAATTATCATCACAAACACCATCATCACTACTTTCGGCACCACGATCATTGTCATCAATNCATCATCACTACTTTCGGCACCACGATCATTGTCATCAATTATCATCACAAACACCATCATCACTACTTTCGGCACCACGATCATTGTCATCAATTATCATCACTAACACAAACCACCACCATCATCACAATCTCCTGGCCCTTACCTATGACAAGAGCCATGTGATTATCATCAACACCACTTATCAATCATCATCATCAACATCAGCACCACCATCATCACAATCTCCTGGCCCTTACCTATGACAAGAGCCATGTGATTATCATCAACACCACTTATCAATCATTATCATCAACATCAGCATCATCTTCATCAGCACCACCATCATCACAATTTGCTAGTAGCCCTTACCTGTGACGACAGCCATGTGATAGTAACCACACGCTACAGAAACTACCTTCCCACTCAGATACAGCCRTTTAGGGGATTCAGTATCCTCTCCCAGACCATTCTGTCCTTCACTGCTGCTTCCCCATGTGTAAAGAATACCATTCTCTGCAAGGACAAACGAAATAATAAAGAATTAATTGCACTGTAAAAAAATAGCAAAACCATTTAATTATAACCGCCTTTGGTTTTGAGCCCAGAATGAATAGAGTAAAATAAAACACCACTACAACTACCATCCTCACCATTACCACCACCATCATCAACACCATCATCATCATCATCAAAATCATTACCACCACCACCACCATCATCATCATCAACACCACCACGATCATCATCATCACCACCATCATCATCACCAACACCACCACCATCATCGACATCAACACCATCATCATCGTCACAATCATTGCCACCATCACCATCACCACCAACACCATCATCATCACAATCATTACCACCACCATCATCATCATCAACACCACGATCATCATCATCACCACCATCATCATCACCACCACCACCACCATCATCGACATCAACACCATCATCATCATCACAATCATTGCCACCATCACCATCACCATCACCACCAACAACATCATCATCATCACCATCAACATCACCATCATCATCACCACCACTGTCATCATCTTCATCTGGTTTATCTAGAGAGAAAGACAGTCACAACAACAAATACTACTACTACTACTACTACTAATATTAATAATATTAATGATTAATAGTGATAAATAATAATTCATAATAATGATCTTACCAGTGACTGCTGCCGAGAAGTCTGACCCACAGGCTAATATTGAATACTGCTGACTGTCTAACAGTTCTATTGCCTTGGGTTCGTGTGAATATTCAGAATCTTCATGACCCAGCTGACCATCTCCTCCACAACCAAAACTGTACAACCTTCCTGATTCTATTTTATTCGAATGATATGATTTTATCATTAGTAGGAGCTTAAAAATATCATTAATAATTCATGAAGGAAACACAATAGAAATCATGACCATGAAGGAGGCTTTATATCTGATATAGACTCGTCTTCATTTGCATAAACTTCATCTTGGATTTTCTCTATTAAATTTGGTTCATGTCGTAAAGAGTTCGGTACAATACGAGAACATACATCATGTGTTTTTTAAGCCGTTTAATAAACTCGCAGATCGTGTTTTATCGGGTCTAAAACCACGCGGCTGCACCTCTTGTTTTATACCCGATAAAACACTCCTGCTCGTTTATTAAACAGTACTTAAGTAGCATAGATATATATACTGTATCGCAGGGCCTTAGCAAGGAAAAATCTTTTTGGGGTCAAATCGGGTCATGAAAATCAGGGTGCAACTTAGATAAAATTACCATTTTGCATTTGCTTTCCTTTTGGGTCACCTATGATTGATCGTTGATAATAATCAATATGCAGATGGTAATTCCTCAAAGAAACAGTTCCCGCTATTTTTCAATAATAAACTGAACTTTTAGACTTAATAGAAGAGTAGAGATGCTTGAAAAGCTAAAAAAATATAATAAGAATTTCTTTGCTGTAATAAATTTTGGGGGTGGGGGTGGGGGTTGGGGGGAGGCTGAGCCCCCTGCACCCCTCCCATAGCTATGGCCCTGCATCTGATTTTCTCCTTCTTCAAACACTTCTTTCCTCTAGTAGATTTTAGATTTTCAAGTGAAGTATTCATGATAAATTTTTATTACAATCTTTATGCTTTTAAATTGTGAAACATGATGTTATGACTGCAGCAGCTGACGCAGCGGAAGTCTTGTTCTCTCCTCTTCTACAATTCCCTGTGTGCTTCACAACTGCTCAAAGCATATTTTCTACTTCTTCAATGCACAGAAATAATCAATTTGTCTTACCAGTTGCTACTAGCGTGTGATTTCTTCCACATGCAACAAGATAGGATTTTTCTGGTTTGAGTTCTGGAAAAGAATATTGAAAGGTGTCAAAAATCTGTTTCAAATAGTAATTCATAACCAAGAGCATAGACAGATTGTGAAGATTCCAAAAAATAACAAGACAACTACATTGTACAGGCCACCCCAATAAGATTAGAGACAAGAAGAACAACATAAGGAACAACAATAGCAGTAGCAACAACAGTGGAAGAAGCACCATAATAGCAATAACAATAA